CCTGAACAGGGGCCGCGTGGAATCGTTGGGTAATGATGACGTTTCTATTGTTCGCACCCGCAAGAAAGAGATGGTTAGGATGACGTAAAAGAAAATCTCGAAAGGACCGCGTAGGTAGATTTTGTGACATTTATTGTACAGTCATACTTCGATACTCTTCTGCGTTAAGTGTCAGTGACATTCTATGGAGCTGTTTCGAAAGTTATGGACCAAAAGACACTCGTTAAGCGCAGATGAAGTTATAATGTGCGTATAACTGTGTATATAAACCTAGCCAGATTTTTGATAACGTTATTGCCAAATAGACCTTTTGCGTCCAATAGCAAAGTAGCTCTAAAGTAGCTGTTTTAAAAACTAAGAGTGCAACCATTGCTGTTTTTTTCTTCTCCTCCTTTCCTTAATTATCCTCGCTCTTTCTTTTTTTTTTTCATTTTCCTTCGTTACTATGATTTTGGAGCTTTTCGGGCTTAAGAAACCTGCCTTTTGACGCTTTTTCACTCAAATGACTGTAAATTTCGTTAGGTTGGTTTTCAAAAAAAATCGGCTAGAAACACTTGGAGAGTTTGGCACAAGTTCACAAATCATTGAGTGGAAAAAATTTGCCAGACACTCGTTCTCTCTCTTTGGGGGAATAAGTCTCAGTCCACAAACAAGCACGGCGAGAGAATCAATAGCTAGCTTAAAACCAACAGAACGATGGACGATTACAGAAATTCGGCGACAACAGAATTCTGTGTTGACTTACTCTCTGATTTCTAAGGCTTACTTTCCGGCAAATTAAATGAACTGTAAGTGAGATAGAGGAAATAGCGAAAAATTCCAACTTCTAATTAAATGTTTCCTTATGGTTTGGAATAAACTATTCTCGAAACTGAGAATTTTTGAACAAAGCTGTGTAAATCGAACTCAATCAGAGTATGGAAACTTGTGTTTCCTCCTGTTTTTATCTCTCTGTTGTATGGAATATGTGTGAAAGTCTTCATTATGAATCGGTATATTTCAAAGAGCTACCCAACGACCAAGAATATTATTGGCCGACAACATACAGAGCAGGGGCAGCTGTAGAGATAACTATCACTAGTTATATGAGAATATTTACAATAATAACACTCTTAGTTTTTACCGAATAAACATTTTCAACAGGGCGTATTTGCAGTTTGATTTTGCTTTTAATGGAAAGCCTTTGTAAAGTGCTATTGTTTACGTGAACCAATTAAAACTTTCATTTAATAACGCCTGTCAAATGACTTAAAAATCGTTTGTCCTGCACCTGTTTCCAGTCCCCAAACAGGAAACCATATAATAAACATCTTATTGTGAAAAGTTTGAACCCAGGAGTCATTTCAAAAAGTAGGTTGGGTTTGATCGTCCTAGTGAATGTAGTCCTGAATAGGACTGTTGTTGTTGACAGTGACTGACGTTTTCGACAACCTGTGCGGTAGTCATCTTCAGAGTCTCTGAACATCAAACTTAACCTACTTTGAAACATCTTATTAGCCTCGTTTTTTCGTACTGTAAATCAGGAACGTAACGTCCATATACGCACGTACGCCTGTGCGTACATGTACAACTAAAATGTGGAAAAAATTATTTCTTGCACTTTTTGTCATAAAATCGGAATGGCTGATACCTTTTTTGCACTATGTTGGTGTCATTGTGTTAGTATTTCCTTTATCCTTTTATTATTCCATAATTCTGATGGCGTCACCGGCCTTTTTTTTTTCCCCGTGAACACTGTACCTTACTGACAACACTAAAATTACCAACTATCTACTGCATTTTGTTGTGTATTGATGGACCAGGCTTGGGGGAATAAAACAAAAGAAATGCATTATTCATTGCTCAACCTCAAGATGATTTCTTTTGTTTTATCTCCGAAGCCTCGCAGCCAAGTTTGAATTTTAATGCATCGCTTGGGCCATAAATCGATGGAAAAGAAAACGAGGTCTGTAATACTCCGATTCCAGAAAAAAACCGGAAGTTGCATGGAAGTGAGGCTTAAAACCCTCACGGCAAATGGCGGATCAAGTCCTTCTCACTCCAGAGGTAGCTTTAATCAAGAAGAGATGAAAAATTGAGCGTTGCTCAACTGCCGCCTTATAGTCAAAGTGGTAATAAGAAGAAACTGTTGGAAAGGTAGGTGTACATCATCTGGCTTCGCGCGATCGATCAGCTGTTTATTTTCAAGTACAAATTTACATAGCGGTTTAGACACAGTTTTCATACAAAATTTGCTTTCTAAGAGTCATGAACATATGCTAGCAATGAAAAATCTAATATGCCCCCTGACCCAGAGAGAATCTTCACTTTTATGTGTTTAAATCTGTTTAAAAGCAAAGTTAGCGAGATGATAAAGAAGTGAGGGAAAATGGTAGAACTGCAAGCGATGCAGCAAACCACTTCAAGAACTTTTCCACCGTTGATTTGGCATTTGGTGATGATTTTACCGTCCTTTCTACGTTCATTCCGACTGATACAGTAGAAGAGTTAAAGAACTGTGGAAAGAAAACCAGGACATCTGCTGATGCCGTTGCCGAGTTTGCAAGTTCTAAGGGGCTCAGAATGCTTTCATTTGTTCATGATGTTATTTATCTTAGAGCGCTTTGCTGGGCCTCCTATAGGAAATTTGTAAGATACAGAATCGAAATGGTAGTTCAGAGAAAGGCAAACCCAAAATTCCAGCTGCCGAGTGTGAAAAAATATGCACAGCCGGAAAAAGTGGTTCAGTTGCTGCCAAGTGATGGTGGTAACGTGGAAACTGGATAAAATATCCAGAAACAAGAAAGTTCAACCTACTCATAACCGTAGCTGTACCTTCAAGCCTAGAAAATGGGGAACACCAGGAAAGAGGACTGTACAACATAAGCTAATCATGACAGAGAAACTTTTTAAACCATGCCATTCCTCAGACATCCAGGATCGAAGAAAGCGTCGAGGTGTCTATCCCAAGCTGTTCGATCCAAGACCACCAAAATCGCGTAAGTTAGACCTTGAATCAGTTGAAAGATTGAAATAAAACTCGGTAAATAAAGGTAAATCCCGCTGTTCTCTTTCCAAAAACGATCACTGATGCGGATAGTATCAAGTTACTTAACACATTAATTGGAGACGTTGCGTATGGTCCTGTCACAAATCTGATTTTTGCTTGTGTGAGTTAAAACTAAATCTACGTAGGCCATCTCTGAGCCTGGGATAAAAGCTAACTCATACATGATATGGGAGGCCCAGCAAAGCGCTCTAAGGTAGATAACATCATCCTCGGAATTTAGACTCGCACACACTTGGAGGTCGTGAAATTTAGAGCTTGAAAACTCGGCATCTAACTTTGCTTTAGTGAAGCTCCTCGCTGGGTCAGGGGCATATAATTTTATGACCTTGAAAAAGCGATGGTAATGAGGTGCTTAAAAGCTCAACTGGTTTTCTTAACGGAAACAAAGAATGATAATTCTTACCCAAACAGCCAATTCTCAGTGTAAGGTTACAATATGTATAGAAAAGACCGCCTCATCGTTACCTTCTAAGCAGCTCAAGTTACCTTGCTCGTATGGTACAATTGAGGCCATAGCCATTGAATCAACGTTTGGAAAACATGAAGTAGCCAGTACTTGGCCTTTAGGCCGCCCAAAGCTTCGGGGTCTAACTACTATACTAGACTGGAGGATCAACTGAATGAAATTGTCTCTTGGCTTTCACTGCAAAAGCAATTCATAGTAATCACTGGAGATCTGAACCTAAATAGGCTCATACCAGATCAAAAGAGGGAAAATAATGCGTGATTAAGAAGGTGTTCATGCCCTGGAATGCCTGGTTACTAAGCCAACAAGAATTACTGATGCAACAGAAACTTTATTGGATGTCATATTGACAAACAGACTTGATCTGAGAATAGAAAACTATATTAATGTGTCGGAGCCGTATAGGTTGGGAAAAACCCCATAATAATTTAAGGACACAATTTATAATTCTATCGGTCATCTGCCACAGAGATCCCACGAGATACTACGCATGCGCACGGTTGGTCATTCTACGCGAGCGTTCGCCATCTTGTAGCGTGGTTGGTTTTCCAACAAGTTTTTTCCCCGTTAATCTACGCCCTCCGGTAGAGATTTGCGAGGCAAATCAGTTTTTTTCAAAGGTGAGCTTCACCTTTCCATGACGACGGAGGAAAATACCATGGATGGGCTATTGAAAGAAGCGCAACACTCAAAATCTGCCTCGGCGAAGCCGAGCAAGACACTAACTTCATCTGAAAGGGCAAGCTCAGCTCGTCCTTCTGGGAACGTTCACCCTGGCACCACCGCAAAAGCAACGCTTACTGGCGGAGCCAGACCTCCCAGTGCCACACGTACACGACAACCCAAAACGACAAGCGAGTTGGGCCTTGTCGAACTAAATCACAAGGTAGACCAGCTAACGAGTCTACTTTCTAATGTCGCGCCTGTTGTGCAGAAATTTAACGCTGCTTATGATGCAGCACAGGAAGAAGAGGATGAGTTGTTGAACTCCTCCTAGGGTGAGGGCGAGGAAAACGCCGCCGACGACCAATCGCCAGAAAGGAAAAGAGCGACGACTTGAAAGCGTCCTCTCGTGCTTAAATCGCAGATCTTGTTAAAGAAGTGACCGAGGACGAACAAACCGAGCCTCCTCTACATGAGAAAGTATCGTCACTTGTTGACAGTCTTCTGGCGTCGGGTCTAAATGAGCCAGCCCTACTTAAACGGAAGGAAAACTTCAAGAGGCCAGAAAATTGCAAAGTTCTCCGTGTGACAAAGGTCAACTCTGAGATCTGGGATATCGCTCAAAAAACAACCCGAAGCATGGATGCCCGGTTACAAAAAGTGCAAGAATCACTTGTCAAGGGCATCATTCCCATTGCCAGGCTTATGGGGACTACGGGAGAAGTCCTTGAAAAGAAAGGGACAATGCCTTCTCCGGATGAACTTTAGAAAGGCTTATCCAACTCGGTGCTTCTGATAGCCTCTGCCACACATGACCTGAAC